CAGCTGGACCCCTGGCCCAGAAGATACCTATACTGAAGAGAGCTGCTGAACTGGAGTCATGGTTGGATGCTACCAGCAGCCTTCGCCCTGGCCCCTCACTTCACCTGGGAAGTACTCTGCAAGGCCAGTCAGGCTCTGGAGCTCCTATGGAATATTGGCTGGACCCTGATTATAGATTGGTATCCCCTCGTATCTAGTTCTGCTGCTGTCTTCCTCATATGCTCGTTGCACTCCAATCTGTATTCCAGCACCAGCTACCCAAGAACCTGACCTGTAATGTGCAACGTGCTTTCTCCCAATCCTGAGAGAGCAGGCTCTTAAAAATCCTCATCGGTTGTCTTTAATTGCTAACAGCAAGTTTTCTTGGAAGGACTTTGGGGGAAAGATCTCAACATGGAGGGCCAAAGTTGGCTGTTTGCCAATGCTGATCCGTGTGTACATGTAATTTTCAAAAACTGGAATTGCCTTCCAAGACAAAGTCATGCAAAGGGTAAGTGAGCTGGCAGAAACAGACTGCAGAGAAAATGATGTGGTGTCGTAAATTAAGAGGAAATCCCACTACATATTAAATATTTCAGTCTCCTTCCTGAGCTCTCCCATCTGCCTCATAATCAATAGCATGTATGGGGAGCTAACGGTCACAGCCAGCCAGCCTCTCTGTCCTGGGGGGTGACTCAGATTCAAAGACAGCTGTTGTGCAGAGGAAGTTACAGCTGGATCATGCTGTCTGATGACGGTGTTGGGTCTCTGAGTTTTAACCCGGAGGTTGGCAAGCAGGAAAAATCTAGCAAACTGCAATCAAAGCCACATTAGGTGTGCTGCTAGCTGGACACATCTGGGAAGAGAAAATGCCTCCATTAGATTAGCTTATAGGCAAGTCTATGGGAGACATTTTCTTGATTAATGATTGCTATGGGAGGGACTAGCCCACTGGGATTGGTACCACCCCTTAGCTGGAGGTCCTGGGCGGTATAAGAAAACAAATTGGGATGCCATGCTCAGTGGCAGTGTGACCACGATATTATCCCCATATGTCAGCTAGCTTGTTGGAGCCCACTCCCTATGGGGGGACGCCATGCTCAGTCTTAGTGCATGGGAGAGGGGCCTGGCCCTGCCCCATCCTATCGTGCCAGACTTTGTTGACTCCTCATGGGAGCCCTTACCCGTGAGGAGGAGTGGACTGGGGGTGGGCTGGGGGAGGGGAGGGGGTGGGAGGAGGCGAGGGATGGTGGTGGGAGGGGTAGGTAGGACGGAGAACTGTGGTTGGAATGTAAAATGAAATCAAAAAAGAAAACAGAAAGCAATTGAACAAACGACAGGGAGCAAGCCAGTGAGCAGCGATTCCTTTCCTTCGTCCCTCATGGCTTCTGCTTCAGTTCCTGCCTTCAGGTTTCCGCTCCGATCCCCCAGGGATGGACTGTGATATGGAAACGTAAGTCAAATAAACCCTTGTCTCCCCGAGTTGCTTTCCGTCATGGTGTTTACCACAGCAGCAGAGCACAATCATCTCAGTTCTGATATGTGAGGGTGTTGGGTACAAGTCCTGATGAATGGCTGGCAGAGCTCCAGGATGGAAATCTGCAACTTGATCAAACTTGCTGTAGGTATTTCCCAGTGAGTCCGGAAGTACTTGGGATTGTGGATGATTTCTACATGTATTTTGCGCGTTAACTATGAATTACATAGTCACTTCATTATAGATCTCGCCGACAATCAACAAGAACGCAGTTCTCAGGGGATCACGACTCACACAGCACTGTGGCATCCCCAGATCGATTTTCCTCATTAAGAAGAAAAACACATGAGGGATAAGCCCGACAGATGAGCCTCACGGAAGCTCTCAAACTACTAATACATGGAATTGGAGTGGCACCCTGGCAATGATGCCAGCCGGGCCGAGTGTTCCTCACGCGAGACTCTCTTACTAGCAGGTGTCCCATTGTGTCGCCTTGTCCGCTCATTTCCATTTATACTTAGGAAAGTCTATTAGTTTTTCATCTTCCCTTAGGAATATCAGCTTGAAAAGCATGACCACCCTCTGTTTGATGCCATGGAAGAGACCAGAGAGTCCTGCTGGCAGGGAATGGGCTGCTGCACCCAGGAACAGGTAGTGATGGAGAAGGGGCTCGTGGCTCCCATAGTCTTATTCCCGTGGAAGAGAAGACAGGCTTTAGGGTAGCAGATCTCACCTGAGCAGATCCTCAGAGGTCAGTTAGTGCAAGGGCTTATTGCTCTTAGGTAGAACACAGCATGGCCAGCACAAATCTCCCCTCAGACCAGCTGAGCTCTCTCAGGATGGCTCTGTTGTTGTACCTCTGTGTGTTCTTCTTAGGCTGAGAATTCCCCTGGTAGGGAAGAGTCAGGTGGCTCTGTATGCAGGACATGCCGCACAAGGTTGTCAAATGCTGCATGTATCAACACGCTGGACCGGGCTGGAATTTCCACTTCCTGTAGGTGACCCAAAGACTCATTCCTCCGGCTCTTTAGAGCCCTGCAGAACTCATTCTTCACTTTTTCTCTAATGGGAAGAAAACAGAGCTGGCAAGCCGCACGAGGCAGAGCTAACCTGAACTTGGAGAGAATGGGGGATTTCATGGCTTTGGAGTTAGGCACAGGAATGACAATGCATCTTCACATCAAACATTTTGGATTAAGGGGGGGGCTCCTATGTGGAGAAAGATTCTGTATTCTGCAACAGCAAAAACAAAACAAAACAAAGTAAGCAACTATTTTCCCATGCACCGCAAGGAAGCTATTGGATCCACATTAGTGGTAAATTAGTCTGTGTTCCCCAGCAAAGCATTGAACAGCCCCACACCGGCTCTGCCTGCAAGTGCTTGACTTTGGAAGCTGAAACAATTGAAATTAAACATTGTAAAGATAAACTATGGTGTGATTTCCATGAGAAAAGTGTCTTCGGGTTTTCTCTTCAAGTTCAAGACCAGTGAGGGCTCAGAAATGGGACAGCCAGACCCACACACAGGCACCAGGGTCCTGCCTAGCACCATGACAGACAAGGAGATCCACATGCAGGCTAGGGGTGGTCTGCCCTGAGCTCTGAGGAGAAAACACTGAGCAGATGAGCACTATTATGGTCAGCAAATGTATGGTATGGCTAGAGAGAGAGAGAGACAGAGAGAGAGACAGAGAAAGAGAGACAGATAGACACACAGAGAGAGACAGAGAGAGTCAGACAGAGAGACAGACAGAGAGAGAGAGAGAGAGTTATGGTTCATGTCCTATGGACAGGGGCATCTCTGAAGGGGTGAAATCGGTGAGGCGTGTGTTGATGTGGGTGGCCTGATTGCCCCAGGGCCATGATGATGTGTAGGCCCGACCTATTTCTGGGGCTCATGCCTGTGTTCATGACCCTGATGCAGCCATGGTCGTAGGACAGCTGTCACTGCCCCTCACCAGCAAGAGAACTGGCCCCACCCCTTGCTCATCGCTGCAAGGGGTGAACTATCCCAGGTGGTGTGGGCTAACTTACTCTAATGGTGAGAACAGGGGAGAGCTGGCGAGCTGACCAACCCTGCAACTACCCAGGCCCAACACAAGGGTTATGAGTAGGCCCACCCCGACATCCACCCCATCTGTGATCTGTAGGAGCATTTAAAGGGGCCAGTCCTGCAGACTCAAAGCTGCAGGATCTCCACTACACGGGGCAACAACTGGGTATCCAAGAGGAATCCCAGTGAAGGCCCAACTTTGATAGTGTAGCAGAAACCAGAACCAGACAAATGGCTCTGCAATGAACACTTGCAGGTAAAGACACATGGATTAAAGGGTTAACTGCGCGACTCACTGTGTCCCACTACAGCTTCCATGATGAGACTATTTTTCCTCTTCTTTTTCTTTTTTTCTCCTGGATTTTATTTTTTTAGGGGGAGGGGTTGCGAGGACAGAGGGCAGATAGGAAGGGACAGGGAAATGAATGGGATGGAGATGCATGAGGCAAAAGACACAAAGAATAAATTAAAAGTAAGTTAAAAATAACAAAAAGAAATGTTTCCCAGGAAACACCTCTTTTCCAGAAAGCATATGAGATAGAATTGGTGTTGCAATTAGTAATAGCAGTGTGTTTACATTTTCCCATTTTATCTCTTATTTAGAGAGCTCAATGAACCACTAATATTAAACCATCACTAATCTTTAGACTCATTTCACTCTGAGTTTATGTAGTTTTCTATAAGATTTTGGGCTAACTACATAGCATCAGGTTGTTATTTAGCTTTCAGTTACTTTCATGAAATACTTGGAGATCATTGGCTTACAAAGGAAAAAAGGTTGACTTTGGCTCACAGTTTTGAAGGATACAGTCCATACTCAGTTGGTCTGTAGCTTTGGGCCTGTGGTAAAATGGCATATCACAATAGAGGTGGATTATAGGCTGTGTGGAGGGCATGGTGGACCAGAAGTACTCATCTTATGGCCAGGAAGCACAGAGCATGAGAAGATGCTGGGGTTTCATAATTCCCTTCCAAGTCACACTCAGTGACCTACGGTGGTCTTCATTTCACTGTCACCTCCAGTAACACCCAGAGACCAAGCCTTCTAATGAACGAGTGACATAAATAGCCAAACCATAGCAGACATTGCCATTGGGCCTGCTGGATGGAACTCAGTTTTAAAGGACCTTTGCTGTCAAAGGGCATGGTGGGTTTGCTTTTTGTGTGTGAAGGCTGGAAGCCTGTGGGTATATTCTTTTTTTTTAAGATTTATTTATTATATATGCAGTGTTCTGTCTGCATGTTTGTCTGCACACCAGAAGGGAGCATCAAATCTCATTACAGGTGGTTGTGAGTCATCACGTGGTTGCTGGGAATTGAACTCAGGACCTCTGGAAGAGCAGTCAGTGCTCTTAAACTTTGAGCCATGTCTCCAGCCCCGGTGGGTATACTCTTGATGGGCCTTTTCGAAAGCACATTTCTATTAGGTCGGGCATTACTTGAGCTAGTAGGATCTTCACCTGACCTTGTCTTTGATTCTTGCTTTCATAGTAACTGAAGCTCTGGCCCTCACCGGCAACACCAGTGAAGCAGAGGGCAAAGAGCAGGAGCCTCAGTCTCTACATCTTCATTGGTGAGCAAACGTTGTTCTCGCCACTCCACCTGCAGATACCCGAGGCAAACAAAGTCATCTCTACGACACGGTAATAAGGAGATGCACACTTTGCACACGTCATCTGTTTCATGAGGTGCCTCGAACTGTCTGCTGCCTCACTTCATGTCTCAGTCCAGCTTTTATTTTTTGCCTCACCGTCTCCTAGCTGAGAAATGTTTGGAATGCTCTGTTTCAACAATTAGTGAGCAGTAAAGATTTGAGGCCTAAACCAGAGGAGCTGAAGCCTCATTCCAATGCTATAAGGAGGCCAAGGGAAAACTGGGCTCCCACAAACCATGTGTAGTATAAACTCCCAGTGTATCTGCAGATCTGATTTATCTATCAAACTATGGATGGTGGTATCTACCTTATAGAGAGGGGCCCTTAATCTTGGAGCTGTCTCTAATATTTGTTTGGGGACAAGAGAAAATAAATGTATCATTCATGTTTTAACTATGCCCAACTAGCTCAAAGCCCATGGATAATCATCCCACAGCCTGATATTTGTTACTGGCCTGTAAAATTTGGCTACTGACCCATGGCAAAGCTTCCAAGTGGTCGCTGAATCTCATCCAGTGATAAAAACTTTGGCCATGATTGTAAATCACTGGGAGACTATGAAGGGCCCCTGCAAGAGATGGTCTACTCTTCTCTTTGTGCTTAGAGGCTGCAAAGAAGCAGATGTCAATAGCCAGTGAGTCCTGTTCTGCTGGGGTACCAGCACAGACCTCCCCTGTCCCATGTGTCTCAAACCTTGCCCCTTTCCCTGCTGCTTTCCATTGCATCTTCTCAATCCCTTCATCCTGACGGTGCACCTTGGTTTAAAAACAAAATGTAACATTCAGTCATGAATAAAGCCATGGTTGCTTTGAATTACAGAGCCCTTTCAAGGATGTAGCTGTTGGGATAAGAAAATTCTCTTCTTAGAACAAACTGCCTGCCCTTGTTGGGGAATTGACCCACAGCAGTGCTGTGATGCTTTAGTGAGAGGCCTGGTGATGAAGAGATGGGCTTCAGAGAAACTTGGAGATGCCACTTAGAACTCATTATTTGAAATCTTAGAAAGAGTGGTACCTACTGATTCAATGGTTTGACTTTCTTAGGATAGAGTCAGGGTGATAGTCTTTTTTTGTTGGTTTGTTTGTTTGTTTGACAGGGTTTCTCTGTATAACAGCCCTGGCTGTCCTGGCACTTTCTCTGTAGACCAGGCTGGCCTCAAACTCACACAGATCAGCCTGCCTCTGCCTCCCAAGTGCTGGGATTAAAGGCGTGCGCCACCATTACCTAGCCGGGGTGATATTCTTGACCTATAATCACCAGATCGTTTTGTGTGATTTACTATATTAGTATTAACCAGTCTCATTGAAATTCATGGCAGTGTAATTTTATATAATGCTAGAGATAATCTATCAATATATTAAAATGAATTCTAAAAATCAAAGAAGAAAATCCGAGAGAAATAACAAAGAGTATTGGCAGTGTGAATGAGCTCCTGAGACATTTTATTTTGTGTTAAAGAATATTATATATGTGTGTCTCTTCAGCCACCTCTTGAAATGTTTTTAAAATAAGAACACCTAAAATACTTTTGTTTGAATTTTTTCACCTTTGGGTGAAGATAGCAGTGTCTGGGACTGGAGAACCCGTTGGTAAAGTTGAGACAAGGTGAAACAAAACAAAAGTGGGATGAATATCTTCCCAAAGTCTGTGACCTTCCACAAGGGCACGTGCCACTTTGAAACTTGATGCCAGTCCCTGGGCAGTCCAAGTTACTGCCTTTGCTTTATATAATCAGCTGGCTGATTAGGGAGCTAATAATAAATATAATTGAAAATCACTGTGAGATCCTTTGAAGTTTTCTGGCAAATAAGGTCTTATGGAAGAAGGTGGGGGGGGGGTCCCGGAGGTACTTTTCAAAAAATGCTGTAAGAACTCAGCTATGCATTTAGATTTGCCTCTAGAAGTCCATAGTGTTTATGAAACATAGTTATCAACTTTAATTCCCATCCCTCAAGAATGTCGCCAGAGTAGTCATCGCCTACCGCCTCAGTGTTGGAGTGGTACTGACTGAGGCTCTTTTTATTCCTAAACTAGTATGTGACCAGAACAAGGTACTCCTGTTAGTCATCTGCCGTAAGTCCATCTCACTGTGACTTCTGAACCTCCAGGAAAGAGGGTTTTAGCAGATGCTGCCTTGTGCCGCACAGATTTTCATTCCGGGACAGAGTGTCTGCCTATGGGCTAGCGTCCTTGGAAATGGAGCAGAGCGACAACAGCTCTCTGGTTTTGATTAGGAGGCAGAATGGCTTCTGCTTTTCTCTATTATTTGCATTGTGAATGGGATTTCATTTTTTCTCTCTCATTTAAATTCAGTGATCAGGTGAGAGAAATCAGAGTCTGTTCCATCAAGGCTCCTACACTGTGACCAGAATACAAATTCCTTGACTTTGATTCTCTAAGAAAAAAAATATGTATCTGTATCTCTCCATATATTCTACTTTAAAACAATCAGAGTCCTGGAATAATGCACAGATGAGAATTTGAGGGGGGTCAGGACACCACACACTTAGAAGCTTGAGCCACCATCGCTGCCCTGCATCGAGCAGCTGGCTTGCACGGGCCTCCCAGTGCCTCCTTCACACTCACCTAAAAAACAGAGCTCTTCATCTTGGTATGAGTCAGGGGGGAGGGGAAGAAAATGCAGAGCATCCTGCATGCTCCTGGCTTCCGGGGGATTGCTGACTAAGAGGCCTCATAGCACATCAACAGGCAGGGCTGAACCTCCAGGAAAATGGTCAGAGTTCCAGTGCCCCTCAGAGGTGAGAGAGGTACTTACTGAAGTACCCCTCCTTGATTTACCTTTCTTCTTCTGAAAATGGGCTGCTGATGGTGTAAAAGATGATCAAACTCTGGAAGGCTTTTGTTTGTTTGTTTTCAGAGAGGTAGCTCCCTACCCATAGTAATGATCAAATGGTTGAAAGAAAGAAAGAAAAAAGTGAAAGAAAGAAAGGAAGAAAGAAAGGAATAGACTTAGGGCTGAACTACACTCTTCAGAGTAGAGCGAAAGCTGTTCTCTGTTGATTTAATTTTTCAGTTGGGTCCTCTTCCAAGTCTCTGATAGCCCACAGACTTTTTTAAAGTATCAGTTTGACTGGACGTTGAATACTAATTTCTCTCCCATGTGGCTGTCCTTAATATATTTGAAACAGGTGCTATGATGCCCTTAAGTATTTCACTCCAGGCTTAGATGAGCCTAGTCCTTCAAGGGCATGTCTGGAGGAGCTCTTGTTTTAGCTCTTCAGTACGTAAGATGTGTTCTAATGAGGGATAGTGGGAATGGAATGGGGGCTCCCACTGGGATCCAATATGGGGGAGAAGCTAGCAAAATTTGTCACTTCATTTATTCAGCCTACCACGGCTCTTTAAAGACAGCTAACGTCCCTATCAGTTATTTTGGGAGACTGCATCAGATCATTGGCTCATTTGGAACTTGGAATCTATTAAAACCTCAAGTCTTTTTCACACATGCTCCTGCTAAGCCACTGTGTGTGTACAGACTATATATAGTTATTGTCTGTTGAGAGCTTATTATGGGCAAGGCAATGTGCTAAATACTTCACATCTTTTGCATCTCATTTAGTCCCCACATCCATCCAGTAAGTCAGGCAGTATCTTTAGCAGTATCACCGACATGCTGAGGACCAAATGAGTAGAGACTGGCTCAAAGATGTCTGACTCCAAAGCAGGTGCTCTGGAATCTCAAGGAATTCTGTTATGTGCTGATGTTGTCCTTTCATTGTTAACAGATCCTGCAAGGGGGATGCAGAGGACCCACCATCAAAGAGCAGAGCCATTGACCATACACTGGGTCATGCTCATCCTTTTAGCCTGCTAGGGTCTTTTGGGATTCTCATTTGATCCGCGAAGGACTTCATCAATCACCATCACTGTTCCCTTCAAATCATTAAAATAGAACCAGGTCCAGAGCAGATCCCCCAGTCCACACCAGGGAGCTGACCGCAGTGCCATCAGTCACCATTGGTCACCACTCTGGTAGTTTCAAATCCTTGAACTTTAGTTTCTCACCTCACTTGCCACATCAAGTGCCTTGCTAAAGATCATGTGCAGAATTTCTAAATCATGACTCCCATGGATCTGCCATACTGTCAGCGAGCAGGAGGAGGGCCAGCCTGGCAGGACTCATTCATAGAAAGTGTGTTGGTTTTAGATGCTAATGTCCTATGTTAAGGCAGCAAGGACCAGCCATGGCTCTTCATTCAGACACTCATCTAGGACTCATGAAGGTCCCCAGTGGTTAATTCACAGCATTGAAATTTCCTTTGTCAACATCTGGGACCTGTTTAAAGTTTTTTGACTTTTCAGAACTCATGAAAGATTAGCCATGATAGTTGGAGGCCCCCATGGACAGATTATTTTTGTATTTTGCAAGTTTTAATTTTTTTCTTTCCTTGGCAAGGTTTGAACATATTGAGCATGTATTACCATATTTGTTGAAACTTGTCTGGATAAAATAACAAGAATATTGAGAGACTGAGAATTGGGTGGACCTGTGGTATCCCATTTGATGATTTATATTTTATTCTATTTCCTTTTAAAATGGAAATCATTGAGATACTTTTGTTCTGTCTGTTAGCTTGCTGTATCTTCTCATCATAGATCATAGAGTTTACTTCTCAGTTATAATTGCCTTGAAAACTAGCTTTCTGTGCTACGTAAACACACATACAATGGGATGTTTATTCATTTGCTTGTTTTGCATTGTTGGGGATTCAGCCTATAGTCTCATGAATGTTCTGCAAGCACTCTACCATTAGCTATGACCCCATTGCAGTGATATGAATTTTTTAAAAGAAATGATATGGTAATATGAGATGTATTGCTAGCATGGAAACAACAGATCAGCAAGTAGGATAGTGTTAACACATGACACAACTCAGTTGAGAGAATAAAAGAGACTTGTTTCCATTTTTCTGTGATGAATTCTTAATACATTACAGTTCCAGTGACTTTTCTACTGTATTTGACACT